GCCCCACACAGCGACGTGGAAATGCCTTTTTTTTTTTTTTTTGGCTCCAATCGAGCTACTTTTACACAAAAGAGACATGTGGTTCAAGTGCCACATTTGTCCTTTAAACAGCCGACCCTTCTAACCCTGTCCCCAATGGCTCGTGGAAATTAGGAAAGATGGTTCCCAAAGCAAAAACGCTTTCCTCCAGCGCTGCCTTTGCATCCAATGCACCCAAGCTGATTTTGGAACGCATATAAAGACTGGGTCGGGGTGGATGGTAAGAGAAGACTGCAGTAGTGGCGACCGCGCTCGCGCCTACGTCCCTGAAGTGCCTGGCAGGTCCAAGTTCGCCGTCCGCGCAGAACCCGGCAAGGAGCGCACCTTGCCGGGTGCCTGGACTAGAGGGCGCTGCGCCCCTGCAGATCACGCGGTCCCCGATGCGCCCTCCCGAGGCACCATTGCTATAATAAGTTACATTCAAAATAATGCACAAACAGCATCGCTTCTCAAGTTTTTTTGAACAGTGCTCTGTATGTATTTGATGAATTCCAAAACCTATGCACGACAGCTCTTTTCAGTCCTGAGCTGTGCACAGCCAAAGAGGTGAGCAGCTCCTTGAGCCAAGACCTTGTAGGATGGATGCACTCGTTACCCTGCCCTCGCTTAAACCCAGACACCACGCAATTTCATTTAACGTTTGAACTTAAAATTTAAAACCACCCACTAAACAAAGAACTCACCGGTCTAGTGGAGTCCTCGGGGGCTCGGCTTTAAATTCCCCGGCAGCTCCGTGATGCCCACGCGGTTGGGCTGTAAACCTGTCTGAAGTATTAACTTTGCCTCCTTCGGATCTTCAGCATATTCCCATCCAGAGTGCGATCCGCCCGTGCTGCCCGGACCCAGGTGGCCGCATTTCCCAAGGCTTCCGACCAGGATGAAACTTGAGCACCAAAAAGAGGCGAAGAGAGAGTGCGCGAGGGCTCGGGGAAAGGGCCGAGGTGAAGCCAAGTTTGTCAGGACATGTCCAGGCAGCCAGCTGCCGACTTCAGGAGTTGCGGCCGGGAGCTGCGGCGGATCACTGCCTCTTTTCCCCACTCCTCCCTCTTGGAGGCGGTGGGGGAGGGGAGGTGACGTCAGCGCCCCGCCTCGACCCCCCGCTCCCCGGCGCCGACGGGATTCTCCGGCTGCGCTCGCCGCCCCCGCAGT